TGTGTGTGTGCGTGTGGTACAGTCAGCGGGTTAAAATTGGAATGTAGAATGAGATTGTGAAATTTATAATCTAAAACTAGAGTATAAAGCCATCCGTTGAAGAAACCACGAAACACACGCACCTAGCTTTCGAACGTGCGTGCGTACACATACACGTACGCATCTTGAATAGACGCGTGCACACATACATTCAAACGTATTATCTTTGGTAATGTCGGCAGAATCACATATACAGGAAAGTTACACACATATTATTTACTGGTACGCACTATAAAAACAAGCTAAGGCTGCATGCTAATTTTACACCAAAGCAAGTAAAAGCATGTCAGAGAATACTTCAAACGCGCTTAGTTTATAATCTGATTTGAAATTTTTTATCTCAGTTTAATTCATTTTAATATGTATACTGAACAATTCTCTGGCTACTTGTTTTCGTACAGTGTAATCGATCAAAGTGTCAAATCAAATACTTGTGAATGGTGTAGTGTGTATATATATATATAAATAAACAAATTCCATTGCAATAAGAAAATTTCGTTGACTCGAGGTCTAAAGAGTTTTTCAATGGCCAGTAATTAAATTTACCGACGTGAGACTCAACGACCGAAAAAGATGGAAGATGATAAGATACGTTGCCAATAACACGAAATTCTCAAAGGCGAACGATTTTTTTCTACGTCGATAGCACAATAGATATTGTCGAGTTCATAGCGCTGGTGCAGATTTCACGATAGTTTACGTCCGCGCGACACAATGCCACGGTGAACCACATGCGACACACAAACGTTTAACGCACGAGATATGGGAAACCTGTTTTGGCCCGCTATGGCGCTTGCATTGCAATAAATCGCCAGCACGTTTACTTTGCCAAGAGAATTTCATCGATTCTGGCGAGAAGTCGACGCGCAAGTGACTTTTTTTTATTTATCGTGTCTAAGAAAGCTTCAGTCTCAACGAAACGTTTTGAAATTTTATTAATGCTATAACACGATATACAAACGTGTCACGATTATATTGATCACAAGTATATTGATGAAGTATGACTGAGGACGTATGTGAAAGCTATAAGGTATTTAGTGCAAGTACAGAAATTTGTCTATCAAATACAGATTACTGTATTATCTACTAAATATAATAGGTATAAGTGCAAGTACATATTTCACAGAAATTTTTCTACCAAATACAGATTACTGTATTATCTACTAAATATAATAGATATT